CAAAACCCCAAAACCCCAAAACCCCAAAACCCCAAAACCCCAAAACCCCATCAATTGGAAATGCATTCATATTTATGAAATTAAGTGATAAATTAATTAAAGGTAGTTGTCATATTCTTATAATAGAGGGAGACAATCATCTTGATCTCTGTTCATATTCATATATTCCAGATGCTTAAAGATCTTAAGAACTCCCAGCATTGATGCCGAAGCTATCAATACTTTAGTTTAGTAAAAATTTCTCTCTTATTTTAAGTCTCTATAAATCCTCACAAGTGGCCTTATAGAACTTCTCATTTTCACCTTATTCTTAATTATGTTTCTTTATTAAATCAGTTAGTCTTTCATACCTCTTAAGTTTTCTGGCATTCATTTCCATTCCCTCCACTTAAATTCTTAGGTAATGATTTGGATCTTTAGCCCCATTTTATATATATTCATTTGACTATTTGATACTCTAAATTTCTTCTATTAGCTCCTAATAGGTTTAGTATTCATAGTTTTCAAATTCTTAAGTAAGCTCTTCTAGTTCTTTTTGTAAAGTTTAGTTATTTCTGTGATAAGTTTGCATCTTTAATTCGTAATCCTATTTCTTCTTTTATAAGTAGTTAATTGATTTCGCTAAACTCACTAGTGAGCCCATTTTCTCATTCGTATGCTAATTAGGGAAATTAACTTTGTACATAGGCTATCTCCATTTGCTGGTCATATTATTTATTTTTCTTAACTAAAATCAACTGTAAACAGGGGTATTGTGAAATATACATGAACTTTTGGTCTTTGATCAAGTGGCTTAAACTTATCACAATACGATCTAAAAATGTCAGATAGCTCTGAGAATTAATCTCTATTATGACTCAAGTTTGAATGTAATTGAGGCTAAATTAAGTTCATCTAATTTATGTTTTCATTGAAACTGTTATTTAGCTAATGTTGATTTTGTTAGTAGTCAATTGACTTCCTCTCCTCTTAATCAACTGAAGATGACTCTAAAAGCTCTTTTTCATCACGATTTTTTAAATAATCCTCAAATTTCTGCAGTCTTTTCTCATATTCATCAAGATCGAATTGTTACTCATCAAAGTCTACCTTATAATTTAGATTAAGATTGATGTGAGATACTGATGAAGTTTTAAAGAAATTACTTGTTGGTTGCAATATTTTCAATTGGCAATCCTAGGCTTTTTTGAGATAGTGTGTTCATTTAAATTTATATTTTAATAATTTAAATAAATAAAATTTCTAATGGACTCCACACAACAGTATAGATTTGTTTTAGCAGGAAAAGTCAACGATCCCAACTTCCATAAATGCCAAGCTGCTCTTAAATTCTTAGAGCAGGACAACCCCAAGAATGTAACTCTTGAAGTGAATCAATTCTTCGAGACTCAGTGGGAAGAATACCTTAGAAAGATCTAAACAGAGAAAAAGGGCAGTTTCTTCCACCACAAACAATCACCACTTGTCTACTATAATGATAACGTTTATATTGGAGATCATGATGTATTTCAAGACTGGGTTTTGAATGAGTTCAGATACTTAGATAAATCAAGTTAGCTTATTTACAAGAAGAAAGCTCACGACACCTATAAGAATCTAATTGAAAACTCTCCAGGAAGAAATTATGTGTTTGTGGATATCTCCATCGATGGAGCAGTTAACAAAGTCATCATTGAACTCTTTACTGAATTCGCTCCAAACACATGTGAAAATTTTAGAAAGTTATGTAACGGTGTATTCACAAACAAATAAGGAGAGAAGCTAACTTATGTTGGATCAGAGTTCCAAAGAGTAGTCAAGGGCATGTACATCTAAGGAGGAGATCTCTATAAAAATGGAATCAGTAAGTTCAATATAATTTTGAATCGTATTAATGATTGATGTAGAAAATAATGCTTCCATCTTTGAAGGTGAATTTGCAGATGAAAGTTTTCATGTTAAGCACACTGAAATAGGATTATTAGGTATGTGCAAAAAGAAGGGTTATTAGCACACCGCAGAATGCCAATTTTATATCACTACTGCTGCTCCTCTTAGTTTCTTAGACAATAAATATGTAGTATTTGGCAGAGTAATTCAAGGAATGAGAGCATTCAAAGTTATTGAGAAACTTGATATCATTAATGAGAGGCCAGTACAAACTGTCAAAATAAATGCAGCTGGTGATTTCACTGTTTCAAAGAAGCTTGTTTGATGATTTTTTAACCATTTCACCATAAACCTATAAAACTCAATACCAGCCTAATATATTTAAGTATCTAAATCTCTAAATCTTACCTACTCTCATATTAATTTCTATGTATTTTCTGCATGTATCCTTTACTTCCTTTTTATCCCTCATCCTTTTGTTCATTTTAATATATAATTGTAAGATGTAAGCCAGGTTTTTTATTGAACTTTATTAAAAAATTAATCATTATAATTAGAATTGATTAATCAATGTTCGATTGTTTTATTTGCTAAAACCACCAGTCAGATTTGTGCCCTACCTGCATCAATATTCAGTAATAGATTTCAACTTGATAGCCATTCTAATAACTAATCTCTATGTAGTCTAGAGGAGATCTAAACTGAAAAGAATTATGTAAACTAGACTCTATAAAAATTGAAATATCACATTGAAACCAGAATAAGCACAGTGAAACTCGAGCTGTCTAATAAAGTTAAAGGCTAGCAAAATGAGGTGGCTAGGAAAAAAGAGTTAATAATTTTGAAGAAAAAAGGCATAGAGGAAAGTAAGTGGATCTATTTTGAATATTCTAAGTATGATCAGAATCAATAAATATATAGAGCAAAGAAGGATAATGGAGTTGAAGGTGAAAATAGAATAGGAGTCAAATCAACTTTTTGAAAAGAAAACTTAGTTAGAGAAATATTACTCAGATTCTGTTGATTTCTATTGTAACTAGGATGCTTAAAACATAAGGTAATACAGTAATCTTACTATGAAGACAACTATATAAAAGAAATTTAACTTGTAAAAATTGTAAAAGTAAGACATATATATTGAAATAATTGATCAATTATAGATGCTTTGATATTATTCCTGAGTATCAAAATTACACCATTGGTTAAAAAGAATTCAAAATACAAAAAGTAAACCTGCTTAAATAACTGAATGAATTTATCCTTATTGAGAGGCTTAATTGCCAGAAATAAGTAGGAGAGTTTTTGAATATCCCTAATGCAACTCAAACTTATCAGATTGATGAGGATTTGTACTCAACTGCTATTGGAGCGAACATTAATCAAGAAATTTCTATAATCTCCAATTATTTTGATCAAAACGAGTAAGCTAACTAATTCATAAACTTTATAATAGGTCTGATGGCTTCCATAATTTAGGAGGGTAGAATGATTTAGGAATTCAAAAATCTAGAAATATTTTGGCTCGTTCTCGTGCTAATACTATGGATGAATTCGATAAATTTCAAGGAGACTAGGGCACTATAGAGGCTGATTGCAATAATGAAACCAAGAAGCAAGAAAAGGAGAATTAAAAAATGAAATAGAATCCAAAGATCAAAGAAGACTTTGCAAGTTTTATTACACTTAATTAATCAGATCTAGATTCAAATAACAAATATCTCACTCTAAATTCCAAGTAAAGATAAAAGGCATTAGAAAAATTGGAAAAGGTAAGTGGAGGTATTCATTTGCTATGCCTGATGTGTCAAGGCATTAGCAGAATACTAAAAGTGGCATTGCCTTATAAATTAACTTTGAAATCTAAGGGATTTTATGTTAAGGACAGTGGATTAAATAGCTACCCTTTGTATATGTTTGCAATCAGCGTGGATTAGATAGATACTAAACATCAAATTTAATTTGAGAATGGAATAATTCTTTTAGATAAGAATATATAGTACCTGCTATACATAAATGGCTTTTAGCTAACATAGAATTCAAATAATAATAAAGTACTAAATATCAATGACTTATTCAGTTTGGAATACTTAGGACGAACCTTTTTAGTTAAGCAAAAGAAACTACCAATATCAAAGAAAAGATTCAAAAATAATGACTCTGATAATATATATGACCATAATCTTGATCCTTACACCCGAGACAAAAATGCGTCTAGCGACAATAGTATGGAATTTGAGGAAGATAAGTTTGAAATACTCAAACTTTAAAACAGACAGCAAAGTGCAAATTAATAACTTGAGAATCTAAGGTAGTCGGTGCACTATGACGCTGAGCTAATCTAGGCTGATATAAAGGAAGAGATCTTAAAAAATGAAGAGTTAAAAATGAGAAAAAGAAAAGAGAGTGGAAATGAAAAAGAGTGGGATGATGATGATGACTATAAAGATCTGATTAAGAAAATTCGAGGACTAGATTTTTCAAGATTGCTTACCGATGATTATGTATCTTGATAAAGATTCTTATAAATAGTTATTAACCCTAATATAAATAGTATGACCACTTGTAAAACTCAGTGCTAAACAATATTTTTAAGTAAGAATTACAATAAAAATCTATAATACTTGCTACCTATAAAATTGAATATTTGAAGTTTGGGGTTTTGGGGTTTTGGGGTTTTGGGG